GAGGGCGCGGAAGGCGTCCTCGCAGAGGGGTGTCCAAAACCACGGCGGGTTCTTCTGGAGGAGGGTGGAGGTAAGGACGTAGGAATACCTAGCGTGTCCCTGAATAAAATTACTATAGTAGCTGGTGAGGCCTAGAAAGCTGCGAAGCTGCTTGGCAGATGTGGGGACGGGCCACTCTGCAATAGCAGTGATCTTCGCGTTGTCCATGTGGAGACCCTGGTCAGACACATGGTGTCCTAGGAAGTCCACTTTGCGCTGGGCAAAGCGGCACTTACTGAGCTTGGCATAGAAGCCATGCTTGCGTAAGCGCTGTAGGACATCGCGGAGGTATCTGATATGGTCTTCTAAGGTACGACTGTAGACCAGGATGTCGTCCAGGCATACGAGAACGTATTCTTCAAGGATGTCTCTGAAGATGTCGTTCATCGCCGTCTGGAAGGTGGCGGGTGCATTGTAGAGGCCGAATGGCATCACCGTGAACTCGCAGTGGCCGAAGCGAGGCCGAAGCGCGACCGAAAGGCGGTCTTCGGCTGGTCCTCTGCGRCAACGCGGATCTGGTGGTAAYCGCTACGAAGATCGATCTTCGTGAAGAAGCGGTTGTCTGTCAGACGGTCAAACAACTCATCCGCGCGGGGCATGGGATAGCTGTTCTTAACCGTGTAACGGTTAAGGCTGCGATAATCGATGCAGAGGCGGAGAGTTCTGTCCGCTTTGCGAGCAAAGAGGACAGGTGCACCCCAAGGGGAGTTACTAGGTTTAATGAAACCAAGTCGAAGCAACTACTCAAGCTGACGCTTGAGTTCCGTCGCCTCTGGAATCGAGAGTCGGTATGGTGCCTGATGGTGAACACGATAGTCAGGCACGAGCTGGATGGAATGCTCGACACCGCGCATCGGGGGAATCCCGCTGTATGAGAAATACGGGGGGAAGACGTCACGGTACTCCTGAATCAGGTCGCGAATGACGGACTCTAAGTCATCCGTGAACCGCATGAGTTCCTCAACGTCTGCGTCGGCACGAGACGTATGGGTGGACTCGGCAGTGGACGACATAGGAACCCGGGATGTCGAGGGGGTATCCGCAGGCTGCGGGGTGGATGTAGAGATGGGAACCGCGAAGATGGAGGAAGGGTCAGGGGGATCGGGCTCCAGTGAGATGAGTTCAACCTTGGGACAGAGTGGATCGTAGCGAAGAAGATCCATGACGTTCACTGAGTAGAGCGTGACGTCCTCCTGTCGGA